TCCATCGCTTCGCGTCGGCCAACGTATACCCACATACCACCTCCTCATGTTGACACTGTACCTTTGTATATCCTCCTCTAACTGACGTAGGGAAATACTTCGTCGACATGTGGGAATCCTCACATCTCCATTGCGCTTCTGTATGTCCCCCTCCTCTCTTTGTATTCGGGCCAGTACTGACCTAACCATGAGGAGATACCCTGTTGATGTATGAGAACTATTGTGTACACCTGCACCACTATCATGCCTCGCCCCCACACCTCACCGACCCCTCCCCATCGCATATTTCAGGCCCGCATAGGTACAGGACCACGCTTTGCACCCTTATACCCCTCTTTGAAAGCGCAGGAATATGATCGGAGCGGAAATGGTGAGTACTGCAAACGTGGAACAGTGGTCAGAGGGGTGATGATAGTGTGATGTGAATACGATGGAGCGGGTGTGCCGCTGGGATAGGGTGGCGGCCATGTAGGTTGGTTTGTGGGTGCCGCCGAGCTACGACCACGCAATCGCTGTGCTGTTGGAAAACGGATGAAGAGGACATTGTTATGTAGCCCATTGGTGGTCACTGTTGCTCAATTGTTAGATACCTCCACCCTGGACAATAATATACATCTGATTTAATCTTTAACATTGGTTTTCTTAAGCTTTGGGTGATGGTCTACTGGTGCTAGTGTAGATATGATAGAGGGTTATGTGTTGCTATGTAAACATAAGAGCAGGCTATATGTTCTACATTGCCTCCTGCTATTGCTATATTGCCCCCTGCCATCACTATATAAATGTGACTGGGGGCTATAAAGACCTGGCTGACTGCTACCAGCAGCTATGTAGTACTACAGAGTTTGCCATGGGTGTTACATAGCACTATAAATTACACAGTGAGTGCTATGAGGTAATATATAAAGGGCCTTCAGTCTACAGGGATATACAAGCTATTCTGTCTACATAGATCTATTAAGTGTGTACACATCTTCCTGATGCGATGGTGGTGGTTAAAGACCAAGAAGGGATGATTGAGTCATGTCAAATAGCTAAAATAAGTCAAATAGGTTTTCGAAGGTCATGGGTCACACTGATGTTGAATTGAATGAAATGGGACAGTACTATTCTTGTTAGAAGGAAATTTGCATAAAGGTCAGTGGGGCTCTAGTTAGAGTAAGATTATGCAAATAAATGCTAGCATTGCCCACTGGAATTGGGTGACTTCCTGTAAGGTTTTTGAATAAACATATCATATTTCGATCAAAACCAGCAAGGCAGCGCAGGGTTCAATGCGATATGATATGTTGCTGACTAAACCGTAAGCCATCTGAATATAGTAGATTAAATATGTCCCAAGGCTGGTGGTACTTGGCGAAAACATCGCATTCAGGCTTTTTTGCAGCATAGTAGGGAATAGTATCCAGCTGTAAGTTGTCAGTCCTTACTATTATATCAAGTCGCTGACAATGCGTCTAAAGAATCGGACTTTCCCCTCTTCCTGAGGCTAATTCCTAGGCTGGAAAACTGGTTGTGGCAGTTGTAGTCGCTTTGTACAAGTAGGTACAACCGAACTTACTTTTGCGCACACATATTGATGAGCTCTGGGTCCATAATTATGGCAGACGGCAACTTCGACGAGTGGATGGTGGGTTTTACCGCACCAACGTTCGGATTTGTGTCCAGATAGGGACTTACAGAGTTTGAAAAACATTTATTCGACCACTTTTAATCTGTAGGAGGGGTAGACACCCTATCAACAGACTTTCATCTATTCGAGGGTCTAAGCGAGATCCATCGTCAAATTTCTCGCCAATCGTCTTCGGCACACCGGCGGAATCTCGCTAAGGACCAAATCTATTCTATTGTCCTGAATAAAAGCTTACGGGAAGTCACCCATTTCCATCATAATGATGTTGCTGTGTGTGGGAAAGAAGTCTCAGGTTTCAAACTCAAAATGAACACCCAACGTAAACAAGGAAAGAGGTGTATTGGCATATATGCTAACGAATCACTCCATATATTCTACGATTTCTGAGCCCACCCAACATTCTCCCATCCTCAGTCTCCATGAAAGCTTTGACATTTATAGGATTATTTCAACTAGAAACATTCTGCGAAGCCGGATGAGAATCACCGCAGTCAATTTCCAGCAAAGTTTAAAACTTACTACGATGAACTATTCCTGGCCCAGACTCATCATACTCTTGCTTGGAGCACCACAGATTTTGGAAGGTGCTGAGGGATGCCAGAATGGATCCACCAATCCACACAGAGTATTTCCGCTCAGGAGGAGCGACAATCTTGACCTAGACGAAATCTTAGGACCAACTATATATGAATAGCCAAAGGATTACGAACCTTCATGCTCGAAGGCGAAAGGTTGGTTAGCTCCTTCTGCATGCGGTCCGCAATGCCAGGGAACATGGTGGTGCCTCCAGAGAGAACGACGTTGCCATAGAGGTCACGGCGAATATCGAGATCACATTTGAAGATGGAATTGTAGCTTTTGAATTGCATTGAGATCAGCAGACCGTCCATAGGAACGTAACACTTACGTAGTCTCATGAATTCCGGCCGCCTCAAGACCAAGGAACGCTGGTTGGAACAGTGCTTCGGGAGCGCGGAAGCTAGAAGAGAGGCTCAGATATTAACAGTGTATATGCGGATCAGACCCACCGTTCATTCCCAATGGTGATAACTTGACCATCTGGTAGCTCATAACTCTTCTCCAAGGCCGAGGACTGCGCCGCGGTCTGAAGCTCCTGTTCGAAGTCCAGCGCGACATAACAGAGCTTTTCCTTGATATCCCTGACAATTTCACGCTCAGCAGTAGTTGTGAAGGGGTAGCCGCGCTCGGTAAGATTCTTAATCAAGAAATCAGTCAAGTCGCGCCCAGCAAGATCGAGACGCAAAATCGCGTGGGGAAGAGCAAAACCCTCATAAATGGGGACTGTATGGGAAACCCCGTCACCAGAATCCAAAACGATACCGGTGGTGCGACCAGATGCATAGAGGGAGAGGACGGCCTGGATAGCAACATAGAAAGCCGGCGCATTGAATGTCTCAAACATAATCTGAGTCATCTTTTCACGATTGGCCTTGGGATTGAGAGGGGCTTCAGTCAGGAGTACGGGGTGCTCTTCAGGGGCAACACGAAGCTCATTGTAGAATGTGTGGTGCCAGATCTTCTCCATATCGTCCCAGTTGGTCACAATTCCATGCTCGATAGGGTACTTCAGGGTAAGGATACCACGCTTCGATTGAGCTTCATCGCTTTGTGCTGATTAGATAAACGTAGATGGGGTGATCGCATTCCAGACCCACCCGACATAAGAGTCTTTTTGACCCATACCAACCATAACACCCTGGTGGCGGGGTCGTCCGACGATTGATCTATAAGATCACGATGGGTGAAGAACATACAAATTGCAGGGTGAATCAAACTTACGGGAAGACAGCACGGGGGGCATCGTCACCTGAGATGGCAGGATTAGCTGATGATAGACCAAGACATTCAACCAAATTTATTACCAGCAACTAAACGAAGGTGGTAAATGAGCAATTGGATCAACAAACGATGACCAAAGATACATACAGCCAGCCTTGCACATGCCGGAACCATTGTCGATAACCTTGGAAGATGGTAGGCTTATAAGAATAAATCGCAAGATAATCACATACAAGCGCTGCGACTTCGTCCTCCATAATTGATTACTGAAGATGTAGAAAAAAAGTCAAGATATGTAGATGAGGGCGATGGGAGGCGATTGGAGGCTAGATAGAGGAGATGTGAGCGGCTTTTGTACGACGACGAGAGAGAGAGCGCAGCAGGAAACGTACGGGAAACTGCGGGGACGCTGCGAGTGATGGAAGGGGAAAGACTTTGCACCGACTTGAAAACTCAGCAAGTCCCTTTTAATAAACCACATGGCAACCGGGTGGCTGTGCACCCCAGACATGTCCGCATTTTTACATTTTGACATCAGTGGTCAGCCACCACCCCCCGTCGACTCCGTCGTGTACACTATAGACCCAATCAGTCCCGAGCTCGAGCTTTCTGACTTGATGCCTCCATCCACTCGTCCTGAATTGTACTTGCCTCGGGCTTCGACTGCGGACTCTAGCTCGGACGTCCCACTACCATCACTGCGGCACCTGAGTATCTGGGGCTATTTGGCGCTCGGCGTCATCGTATTTATTTCTTCAGCCGTCTTGGTCTATGCCATCTACTCTTGCTGTTGCTCGGCACATACACATGGCCCTCAAGAAAGCACTAGGAAATCTAAACTGCTACCCACATGGACACTGGCCCGCACCTGGTCGGATTCCTCGCAAAAGGTATAACACCTACGGTCCCAAAACGCGATGCAACTGACGACAACATAGCAACCGATACTTTCTAGCCGCCAAACATACACGCCAACTATGACTCCTTCATTCTGTCAGCAGCTGGTGCTCCCCATGCCGCGCGCTGCGCTCTGCCAGCCTCCTGCTCACCTCGGGTCGGGGGTAGTTGACTCAAATAGTATCCGTTTCGTTGCACTCCAAGGCCTGCAAGTGTCCAAAACAGACGTCAATATATGGATGAATCCTAAACTCTTCCCAGTCCAAGGCGCAGGACCATCGTTATCGAACACTCCAAGCAATTTCAAAGCCAATCGCAACTGAGGGAGGTTTCTCATGCCATATTGAACTACATACATACAGCTGTAATACATCAAACATCCATGAACCCATTTAATCAGTGACGGCCGGGTCAGCGTTGACCCTCTTGATGGATTGACGGGTCTGACGGACTGACGGGGTCAGTGTGATTGCTGCTACCACGTAAGCTGCGGAGGCCAGCTTGACTTGTTTACATGAGGTACCGCTCTTGAAGACTGACACTGGTGAAAACGGGGTCAATGACTCTGACCCCGTCATAGCCATGTAAGAACTTGTACGAACCGGTCGGAGAGATCCACTACCACATCAGAGTAGTAGTACATAGTGAAATGAAAATAAAAATAAAACATTGACAACAGAGGGATTCGAACCCTCGCCCCGGAGGACCAGATGAATCTGCGGATCCTGATTCTGGCGCCTTAGACCACTCGGCCATATTGCCATGCAGACCCTCGTACGTAGATGTACCATAATTTTGTGGGAACTTGCCGAACGACGAACCCGTAATGCCCTCCGGGATTTCGTTCACCTTACAATCTCCTTCGGCAAGTTAGCGTTTGGTATTGACTATCATGCCCTTGACCCAGGAAGACCTCCCCACGGCCTTTGATTCAACAACTTGCGTCAAAAGGGGCCTTTGTCCAGTGTCGAAAATACGTGGCCATGGTTCAAGGCTTGAAAGTCACTCGCTCTATTTCGAGCAGCATGGCCGTGGCTTGAACCCCGATTTCAAGGTCGTTTTTATTATGGGTCTCAATTCTAGTTGCTTTGGATGGGGCCCCCAGGTCCGGCACTTTGGTGTCACAACAACCCATACCATACTCGCTTTTGATAATCGAGGCGTTGGAAACTCAGGTTACCCGCGGGGGCCATATACGTGAGTCCATATTTTACCAACCGCGCCACAGAGAAGGAAGGGGGATAATTTGAATCACTTCCCATTCCCGTCGCCTCCTGATCAGAATAGAAGCTCAACTTAGACTAATCGATTGCGCGTTCGAACAGGACCTCTGCCATGGCCGAGGATGCTATTGCTCTCCTGGACCATATTGGTTGGACCGCCAAAAGAGACTTACATATTGTTGGGATTAGTCTTGGCGGGATGATTGCTCAAGGTTATTCCTACTGTTTAACACAACTTGCATGTTCAAATTTTGTTAGAAATGGCCACGCGGATTCCCGAGCGTATTGCGTCCCTCGTCTTAGCAGTGACTACCCCTGGTGGGCGACCATGGCGCAATTTTCCTCCGGTATGCTGTAAAACATTGTTCTCCTCTTTATTCGAACCTTTTGTTATTTCCAGTGGAAAGGCATAACGTCCCTTGGTCGCCTCATATTCACCCCAGACGTCGCGAAAAAAGTTCCAATTGTGATGGAAATGCTATTCCCGAAAACGTGGCTGGATGAAAAGGCCATGGACGATACTACCGATCGAACAAACTATCAAGTCCAAGCTGAGGCATGACATTTTGTTTTCCCATCAACGATCACGTTCAAAGTGGTTCACAGGGGTATATTCGCCGTGTAGGCATCACTCGTCCTCAGCTGTTTGGTGGCCATATCTCCCAAATGGCCGCCGGCCTGACACATTATGTTTCGCCGGAACGATTGAGGTCTATCTCGAGCTCAATTCCAAAGGTGGTTATTGTTACCGGCGATAACGACCACCTCGTCCTGCCAGTTCATTCACAAGAGCTGAAGGCCTGCATGCCTGAAGCTGAACTTGTCGAATGGGAGGATACTGGTCATGCCATCCACGCACAACGGCCAGATCGGTTCAACGAATTGTTGGAGAGAACGTTCCGCGAAGGGAGAGCTATGGTCAATGATAGATAACAGTTGGGGGGGATGACTCTGTCGAGGGAGTTTGCCCAAATGCGATCGTTTCCTGACCAGATTATTTTCCTGGAATGACCATATACTTATTTCATCTCGACATTTTCCCCTCTTAGTCAACACAAGCGCTTATTCTTCTATAGACTTGTTTCTCAGAACAAGATATTGGTCCTCGACTTGGGTACATGACCTCGGGTTTGCTATTGCTTGAAGCCTCTCACTTGGCAGTATCAATATCCTGTGTGATACCTGTGCTGATACGATACTAGTTATCCATTAAGGTTTGACCCTGGTATCCTTTAATCGGTATGACTATGTATTTCCTATGCAATTGGATCCTTCGTTTCCGGGCTCCACGGACCAACGTCACTCAAGGAGCAGCCGCCAGGGCAGATACAACTTCCCCCAAACTCTTTGGGCAGGTTTTCTGCCGGTATCTGAGCCAACAGCGTCTCCTTATAGCCACTTCCTAATATGGCAATTTTGGCGACCGTTACTTCATCCAACCATGGCTTAATGATACTCCAAACCGCTGAGAATGCCCAAGGAGCATTAATAATGTAGAATTTCCCCATGCTCTCGGGGTATCTATCCTGACCGATGGATGCCGCTTGCATGACATAATCTTTGACGCGGTAAAAGTTGGACAGGGACACGTTATTGAGGTCAAGGATAGTGCAAGAGGTTTCAACGGGATGGCCTGATGCCGCCGAACAGGCGGGGAGACGTTGGGTAACGGACTTCTCGTACTCAAGAACAAGGCGTTGTAGGAGGCGCTTTTGGGTGGTCGTGGCATATAGCGCTTTGATGTCAAGCTTCCCCAATTGTTCGATATAAACGGGACGTCCATCCTATGCGAGGTCAAGAGGATTATCAGCGACGGGTAAAACAAGGCAGGTGGCTACTTGCCTTGTCGGTTTTATGATAATATTGTGGGTAATACTTGTCCACTTCCACTTTTTCCTCAAAGTTGAAGCTCCTAAACGAACAAGTTGGTTTTTGTATCAACCTGGATGTCGAGAATATCTCACTTCACGATCTCATCAACCTCAAAATCCTTCCTCCATTGTTCAGCTGCAAGCAACATCTCCTTTGCCTTGGCCACATCAAATTTTCTTGCTCTTAAGAATCTAGTATTTCATGATCGTAAAAGATCAGCACTCTTCCACAACCTGAATGCCCCCTGTGCATAATTTACCCACCTCAGGAGTGTCGCATCATCCATACGCTCTTCAACAAACTTCCCCTCTTCTATGAGCTCCTTCTTGAGTTTCTCGAGTGAGTGCTGTTGGGGGATAGTGAGATTCCCCAGACGCCCAGGGAGGGGCTTGTAGTCTGGGTCGGTGACCCCAGGAGGCATAGAGCTTGCGGTCGCTGCCTGGGGTTCTTGTGTAGTGGATGCCATCAACGTATGTAGGTGGGTTATGTCGGCTGGGCGCAAGTAATAATCGTGGTCACAAGTGGAGATCGAAATTTTGATTGGCACTTATTAGGACATCGATAGTGACATAGTCGTTATCCACTCTGCTTATGCTCCCAATTTGTACAAGCAGAACTACAATCAATTGGTTCAATAAATGGAGCACCAGTCCAGCCAAACCAAAAGGATGCGAGTTGAGTCGCATCTCATGGTGGGAGGTGGTTAGATGTATTTCTACGTAGATATTGATGAATTGACGAAAACTTGGGTGTGGCATACAGTGTCTGCGAGTTGAAGTGCAGATGGCTGGCGATAGTGTCGTAGAAATACAAACAATTTGAAGTTGATGTTTTGGGGACCAATAACCGGCAAATCTGGAATGCAATCTCTACTAAACAATATCCCACAACTCCTCCAGTGCACAACAAAACTTGAGGAACCATAAGTCTTGTAACAACAGCCCACGGAATCAAGACCCTCACCTTGCCGCAAGCCACACTCGCACTAAGAGGGTAATCACTGATACCTATTTTTTCATCCACATAGCCATCCGCAAAGTCATCCTTGCCTCTGGCCATAGCGCCAACAAACACGGCGATGGAGTGAGTAGTCGGAAGGGTCGGAAGATAGCGTGAAAGCCGTTGGGTGGGGGCATCGCCAGAAAGGGCTGGAAAACTTGTATTAGGATGCCAATCGGAAAAAATCAAATAAGGATGCTAACTCAATTTGATCGTGTTCGGCGGGAGATGGTCTGTGATAGGATTCTACGCGTAGCTCCGGCACGTCAGAGTGAATGTTCGTGGGATGGGTGATACAGACCTTGATGACTTTGAGCAACTTCTCTGGGCCATTAACGCCCCGGATCGATAGCTTGTGTAGGAGTTGTACTGGGCGAGAGTCAGACAATGTGACTAGATTTGGCTGCATACCAACCCATTAAACCACTGAATCTCTTGAACGTTCGAGGAATTCGGACATGGGGATTGACCTCAATCAGAACCCCCTTGGCTGTATGAATGTATACCTGCAAGAGACCTGCTTTATTTAACGGAGAGTCAAGCAATGTCAGAAGGCACTATATCCGAAGCAATTGAATCGATACAGCAGTAGGTTCAGGAAGAAACATACTTGATGCGTGATATCGGGCCTCGCGTCAGCTATGTCTCTTCCCGTTTTTGCAAGGATCCCTTGATGGTCATCACAGTTCAGGAGGGTGTATTTCACTTCCCCCTCCCCCCCTCGTCCGCCTCTTCCTTTTGCCCCACTGCTGGAGATCCGATATGCCTCAAGGCAGGCTTGTTCGAGGATAACGTAGAGGCGGCGGTTGGAAGAGGCAACGCCGCCCCTGGAAACGTGAGCCTGAACAGGAAGCATTGATGGATTGTCCGGGAGCGGTATGGGCGAATGTGGATTTGGTACGGTCATTTTTCGGGACTTGGATGCGGGTAGGGGGCGTGTAGGCCTATCCACGACAATATTTTTGGGGACTGAGGGGGAATTATTTTTCTGGATATGATCGATAACTTGTATCGGACCTGGGATATCCAAGGAATCGATTTGCATGCCCTGGCTGGAAGTTGAAGTTGATTCGGACTCGGAGTCTGAAGTTCCACTCTGCTGTGGGCTCTTCTGCCGCCGGCGTTGGTGGGGGCGTTCGCCTGGTGTTGATTTTGGCCGCGGAGGGGGTGCTATATCGGTTTTGTTCGTAAATATGGCGGTAATGTGGTCGTGGTCTAGAGATCCCGAATGGCGGCGGCGGCGGGCGGGAACACTGGCAATGTCAAGGGTCATGATTTTTTCTCCTGTCTGATTTTTCCCAGATTTTTGCCGCAGAGTAGATGGGGGATAAAGAATGCGTACAAGAAAGAACTGATGAAGGGTTAAATAACACCCAGGGCTGTCGTATACTCCCTCTTATAAGTTATAATTGGGTGTGGGTTGGCCACTTGAGATTCTCAAGGATATTTTTGATCTAAGCATACACAACTACAAACTTGGTTTGATAAGGTCATTTGGCATCCTTTGAAGCAGTTCCTGGTTGAACCTAGACCCGTTGCAACCAAGATTCTTCATCAAGGAATATTATCAGTGTCATGGCCAACCCCAATCTCACTATGGTGAAGCCGCTAACTAGGGTCGGTTATCTCAATTTCAGATGTAAAATCCCACAGGTAGATTCTCGGCGC